TAAAATTAACCTTAGAATGCGAAATCTAAGCAGTAATTTGATAAAAAACATGGGAGTAATTAATGGCATTAATTTTTCTAACAGTTCAAATGACTTGAACTGGATTTGCATCGGTCTAATAAAGCCGGCAAAAAAAATCGGAAACTTTTTCTTTGACCTAATCAATTAAGTGATCAGTGATTAAGGAGAAAAAAATAAGCAAAAATTTAGGGGTAAAACAAAAAAAAAAGAGTAAAACAACAATTGGAATTTTTTTGTGGAAGAAAAAAACAAAAAAACAATAGATAGTTGAATTCAACAGCCTTCCTTTGATCAAAGCTTCATTCACAGTATACGGTCCTGAACAAACGATGCAAATAAGTAGGTTCTTGTCTAGAAAGACGACAACCAAAACCGAAGAGGTTTCTGTTGTTTCTTTGATGTTCAGCGCAAATTTTGTCACCTGAGGTGTGAGGTTTCAAAAGTTTTTTGCTTTTAGTTTCTTTTTTTTTTTGGATGGATATAGGCGACAGAAAAAGAAAATTATATCTCACATTTTTCACAAGAAGAATAGCAAACTGTTAAAAAACCAAAACTGGATTCAACATAAACCCGAAGAAGCGGCCGCCGCTTTCAGATGATCTATTAATTGTCTGATTTTGGAGTGTTAAAAAAGTTTTTTTTCTAAAGAAAAGAACCTCACGGAAAAGTCCGCCCATTTTTTTTTTTTTCGTTTTTCTGTTACTTTTTTTTACCTTATATTTTCAGTTCTGCAGAATAACTGATGTTAGACCGATTTTTGTCGTTTTCTAGCATCCGATAACTGTAATGCTATCCGCTATGAATCATCTGATTTCCTTTTTGAACTGCAGTACTTTCGCCAGTTCTCCAGTTAGTTGTTCATCAAACTTTAATTTAGCGACAAATCTCTGTTAAATTTGGTGATGTGTTGTTGTGGTTACCCTTTTGGTTAGTTACTTCAGTCAAGAAATCGTTTATTAAGTTCATTTTTCATTAGTTTTTCGATTTACTCGCTACTGACGGTCAAATATAGTGGTAACAGCAGCAATAGTTACTGGTGTTGTTAGAGCAGCACCACTTTTTAATGGTGGTAGGTTATTTTTTCATTATTTCTAGATTGGATGTAAATAGGAAGGTACAAAAGATGGAAGTTGATGAAATTTGTTGTTTTTACCACAGAAGTTAAATGTTGAATAAACAGATCAACTTTGAAACATTATAAAAGTTTCTTTGCTCTTGTGAACTTGATCATCTTTCTTGTAATGCATGGACTTTATCCTTTTTTTTTATTGTTTGTTTACGTCTGCAACTGGTGTACTTGATCTTTCATCTTTTATACTGTCTTCACTTTATCATTGCTCAAGGAACTTTTTGTGGTAGATTATTAGCAGAAATCCTCCGGAATAACGAATGATGCCAATGCCTTCTGCTGTTGAAAGTAATATCACTCTATGGCAATTTCTTCTAGAGCTTTTAAGCGACAGGAAATACAGTCATTTGATCAAATGGACAAACAACAAAGGAGAATTTAAAGTATATTTCCCCTTCAGTTTTTTCTTGGACACTCCTTTTTATAATCATGAAAATTGCTGCGGTTTCTGACCGTCGTTGAGTGATAATGCTAGGGAAGATTTTATGAACGGATTGGAATGACTATTTTCAACTATTTTCTTTTACGGCTTTTAAATGCTGCAAGTGATATGGTAATTGACGGGTTTTAACTTTAACTCATGATTTGATAGCCGCTCCTGTAAGCTTTATTTCTGTTCTCTTTTTTGGATGACATTAGTTTGCTTTAGAATTTTACAGAATGTGACTCAGAGTACGAGAAATTGATAGATATAAAACCCGCTAATCATTTCCTTTCTTTGGATTACCATATATAGTTCTTTGCAGCTTTTGAATGCCGAAGCAGTTGCCCGATTATGGGGTAAACGAAAGAATAAACCTCAGATGAACTATGAAAAAATGTCCAGAGCTTTGAGGTATTACTATGACAAGAATATTATCAAGAAGGTACTACGAACTTTGCCAGCTGACTCCGCCTCTTTTTTTTGCCGGTTACCAATTTTGACCAGCTATAATCAGTCCTTATAGGAATTGTCACTAATTTTAGTATTCCAAAAGAAAGTTTGTGCTTCCTTGTTATTGATATATCTCGTTTTTTTTTTTTGTATAGAATGCAAACGTTTGGTGACAAGAAACACGGACAGACTAGCTTTTTTGCGACCGCAAGTTGATTTTTCAGGTTAACGGCCAAAAATTTGTTTATCGATTTACCATGAGTGACGGGTACTGGAAAGAAGAGCTCAACCATCCTTTAGCTCAAATCAGGAGCCTCTTCTCTAGTAGTACAGGTAGCTTGACTTTTCTAAACTGCGCAATTGAACTGCCATTTTAGACTGCCAACAAATTTTATTATATGCTTGTTTTAAATTACAAAATTTTTATAGTTAGCAAAGGTCCACGCGGAGTATCTTTATTAAAACGTTAGAAAACTTTCTATTATTTTTCAAAAACCATCCATCTGTTGAAAGCTTACCTGGTAAGAAATGCTAAAAAAAAAGCAAAAAAA